AACCACTATCTGCTGGTCAACATCTAGAATGTATCAATTGTACAAGCCAAGTATTTGATCCCCATTTTTCCAGAGGATGAAACCGAGAATAAGGAGCTTTACACTGTCAGTGACCGAACACGTAGTACACCCATGGCCGTGCGTCCGCAGGACAAAGCAGCCTTTGGCAGCCCTGGACCTTAAGATGTCCAGAGGTCAGCAGCTCTCAGCTCAGGCCCAGGCAGCTGGACGGCGCCCAGCGCCTCCTCCAGGTGCTCCTGGATCCCCTGCTCGTTTTCACTTGCAGCCCGGGAATCTCCGCGAAGTCCTAGCTGATAACTAAGGGGTTAATGAATAGTCACAGTGATGAGCTCCGGAGGAGCCGTGGCCCAGAGCAGCTGTGGGCTCCTTTGATTAAACCACAGAGGTCCAGAGGATCAGGCCTCAAACCTCCTCCACCACCTGCCAGCTGGCACCTGTGCAGGAGGTGGAACCAGCACCCACCTCACAGTGGCTGCAGGGTCATCTGAGATGTTGACTGTAAAGTGCTGAGCCATTGGGACACTTTTTCCAAGACCTCCTGAGTGCCGGCTGGCCCCTGGAGCAGAGACGAGACTCCTGTGGGGCCTACAGTCCAGTTATGAAGACAGGGTTCCTGTGTCAGCCAGCACGCCCAGTTCTGGAAATGCCAGGATGTGGGTTCAAAAGCTCAAGGACAATGGACTCATTCTGACTGGAGGGATCCAGGGAGGCTTCATGGAGGAAGTGGCATTTGAAATTGGCACCAAGGATGAAAAGAATTAGACAGAGGGGACTGGTGTCTACGTGAAGGAAGGCCAAAGTGCAAAGGCTGCTCTGGGGTGAGGGCGGTCGCCCCTTCCTGAACTGTGCGGCTCAGGAGGCTTTGGCAGAAGGTGGGACTGCACACCCCAGGCACAAGCTTCCTTTCCTGCACTCCACACCAGGAGGAAGGGCTGTGTGAACCGCTCACCACTGTCTTCCTGGGTCTGCAGCTCTGCGCCTGGCACAGAGATAGGCTCAGTGACGGTTGAAGGAATCAGAGAAATAATGAAATGTGTGTTCATCCTGCAGACGGTGGAGACCCAGCTTAATGGTTAATGTCAGGAAATGACAGATCCAACACCCCTGCTTGGGGCAGTGTGGAGGCGAAGGAGGAACTGCAGGAGCCTAAAGGCGATGGCGCAGGCCTGGCTCAGGAGAGCTGCCCTTTCAGACAGCGAAGGGTGCGGGAGGAGATGCCCCAGGCAGAGGCTTGGCTTGGTGTCTTGGCACCAAACTTCCCAAAGCAGCCATGCCTCTCTGTGACTGGCGCTGGCAGGGAGGTAGGCCACGC